ACGGCACCTGAACCTGTTCTGAATGTGTTAATGCCATCGTTGATGCCATTTTACAAATGACATGATATCTGGGCCTCTCTGGGATCCTAAAACAAGCAGGTTCCCAGTATGGTGTCCCTGCACAAAGTGGATACTTCCTCCCCAGCCAGTGCCCCACAGGGCTGTCTCCTGCTCCTGCCCTGCAGTCTGAACTCACTGGGCGGGCAAAGAGCCTCTCCCTTCTGGACAGTCACTCCAAAATCTCTCAGCCAGCAAACCTCAGCTAGGAGGGAGGTGTAGAGAAGGGAAGGTGGAAGGTGGTGGAAGGAGAGGGACATGCCCCCTTGGCTGTGACAGGCTCTGAGACCAGGCCCCTGAGCTCAAACTCCAGCTCTGTTAGCATGAGCTGTGCCCCCTTAGCTGCCCTGCTCAGTTTTCTCACCCTTTAATAGGGGAGCAAAACCTATCCTCCCCTTCTAGGTGCTGTGAGTTTGGCTGTGAGGTAATCTGTGAGCTTTCAGCACTTATCAGCAGGCACCCGAGAATTGCTGTAGAATGGCTGAACAACCTTCCCACCTTGAAGTGCTGAGTAGAGGCTGCATGAAGCCTGTGAGGACCCAGAGGAGAACCCTTGGCCCACCTGCTCTGCCTCCAGTTCTGCCATTCACAATCTGTGGTCAAAGCAGGTCTGCAAGGCCAGGAGCCACAGCAAGGACACCAAAGTCCACACACTGACACACATACAGCCCCCAGTGCCATCCATCCAACACCTGCCAGGCCCCAGAACAAGGGCAGTTTCTGACCCAGCAGTGGCTCACTCTTAAAAGTGAAATTACACCAATCACAGAAATGCAAAGTGAGTCAAGGAAATTTTCCCTGGAGTAAGGAAATCAATATGGCAAGAGAAGCACACAATCAACCACGCAAACACACAGAGGTATCATCCCTCTCACCACCCACACTCAACCTCAGACATGCACAACCACTCACAACTCACAGCTTCACACACAGACCTGTGCAAAACCCACTCAACTCACACAGCCACACATGGAAACATGAAGAGGGAGAGTAAAAAGGGGTATGGGGAAAAGGGGAGAAGAGGAGAATTAGCAGGAAGGAAGGACAGGAGGGGGGAGGAAGAGGGGAAGAAAGGGAGACTAAGAGAGTAGAATAGGAAGAGAGAGACTAAGTGGGAGACTAGGAGGAGTATGGGGAGGGGAGGAGGGAAATTGGGAGGACAGGAAGGAGAGAGGAGCAATAGGAAGAGGGAAAGGATAGGAGAGGGTGAGACAGGAGAGAAGGATGGAGGGAGAAAAAAAGGCATGAAAAGGCATGAAGTAGTGTACTAGTTAAGAGGTGACAGAGCTGAATGGAGTAAGAACAGGAGGGAGGGACGGAGGGAGAGGAGCTGTGAGAATAGAGAGAAAGAGTTGGAAGAAGAGAAGAGAGGAGAGAGGGAGGACAGGAGGGAGAGAAGGGCGAAATTTGGCAGGGTGGGAAAGAGAAAATGACGATGAGAAGGAGGTCTGGGGGTGAGGAGGGAGCAAAGAGGGATGAAGAGAGAAAGATGAAGTTCTTGAAACCCAGCAGGAGGGTTTCAAAGGGGGCTGCTGGTTCTGTGGGCACTGCCTGCTCCCCAGAACTGGCAGTGTGGGCTCCAAGGCTGAAGTGCAGGACAGGAGTCCCCGAGGCCAGGCCCACCAGGAACATTAAGAAGGGCAATTAAAATGGGGCAAGAAAGCCTGAATGAGCAGAGGGAAGGGAGCACGTGAAGGTGTGCGGGGGGAGGGGGGGCTCAGAGGAAGGAGACCTTACTTCAGAGGAACTCTGTCTGTCCTTCTCACAGCCCTCCCTCCGAGTTGGGCACCAACCCCCACTATGACCACTTCTGGCTGCTTGATCCTGGAGCCTTTGGCTCCTCTTGAAGTAAGTCTGAGTGTGAAGGGGCCGCCAAGAGGGACCTCATGGGTGTTCAACATGTGAAAAACATGGGAAATCTCACACTACCCTATCTGGTGACCACCTGCACAATCCCTGGCCCAGAGGGACAGAGTGGGTTCGGCTGAGGGCCCAGAGCAACTAGAGCCCTCTACAGAGCAGGGGTATAGCTGGCCTGTGACCTACCTCCGAATGGCCATATTGGGCCTGCATTAGTGACATTTTCTACTTTAATTTTTATGTCTCAACTTTGCAGATCAGAAAATCCAGAAGTCTGGCAGAGCAGTGAGTTTTGAAAAAAATTTCAAGACTGGAAGGTGGGTCCCTCCACCATCTGACGTTTGGTTGCTCACCCTCCTGTCTCCCTGTGGCTGCTGAGATGAAGCTAGATTACTTCTGCATTCCCACTGACCCAAATGTGCCTAGTAATTTCTGTGGAGGCTGTGTCCTGAGACCAAAGGCCAGCCCCCTTAGGGCCGCAGGAGATGGCATGCACCCCGAGGTGGACAGGTGGAGCTGCCATATCTGGATTCAAATAACTAGGGTCCTGGTGCTGCATGTGAAACCTCGAGCTCCCAGCTCTGGGGCCCCATGCTCTTGAAATAAACGCTACACCAACCCCATCACTGGCTGTGGCTCCACGTGAACCACTGTGGACTACAGGGTCTTCTTTGTCTGATTTTGAACACAAATTGCCAGGCTTTTCTTCCTAATCTTATGTGGAAGCTGTGCTGGTATGTATTCATCATCACAGACATGCGCAGCCCCCACTGAGACAGATGGTGGCTGTGTATGCGGTGCCTTACTTGGGAGTCAAACCCAGACTTCCCACACGGTAGACAAGAGTTTTACACACACACAGAGTGAGCCCTCAGAGGTAAGGAGGACCTACACATGACCCCGCTTTAAAGAGCTCGCTCGAACTGCAGCCTCTAGTGAGTGGAGGAAAGCACACATCTCTTCAGGTGAGATTCAGGGCCTAACTTCCTCTATCAGAAAAGGACTTAACCAGCATTTTTTAAAGGCCTCAAATACATGAAGCCTTAGTAAAACATAATTAGTCTTGGGACTAGAAGGGTAAACAAATGTGTAATTCATGAATTTGCTAATTGTCCTTCATCTTGATCTCCTGCCATTCTCTTACAATCTCTGACTGACATACGTGCTCATGGCAAGGACGCAATGCTCGGAGCAAGCCTCAGAGCCGCCTGGTGCCAAAGCCTGGCACCTGGACTCGCTTCCCCCCACCCCTCCTCCCACCCAGCCCAGCCACCCCCGAGAAAACACAAGGCAAGAAGCCTGTGGTACTCCATCTTTTATTTTCTTAAACTGTACACAGATGTAAAATACTTTAACAGCAAGTCTATGGGGAAAATGGTTTGGCTTTAAATTATTATGAAACAGAACCTAAAGGGAGCTTTATTAAATAAACATAAAGTTGGAGATTTAAGGATACACACCTGTATTCTACCATTGCCATCTTCTTTCTACCTTCTAGGTGTGTAAGGATAGAAACGACAAATCAAACTAAATAAACAAAATCCATTTATACCCTGAAATGCTGGCAGGCCACTCGATGGGTGGTTCAGAACATCTACATCATAGAAGATGGCCTCACCATCTAGTGACAATTAAAACTGATCTGCTGGCCTCTTTGGTTCCGAAATTATGTACAATACATTTAACTGTATCCATTTTTTTTTGCTGCTATAAAAATAACTTTTTTCAAATGGCAGTTTCTGACTAATCATGCAACTAAATCAGTGCAAACATTAAAAGCAATCATTCGCTTAAAAAAGAAGCAAAGGATTTCATTTCAAGTATAAAAAATATAAAAAGAGTCATACGAGTCCAATTTCATCTAGTGCGGGTCAAGCCTTTAAATTGCATAGTTCACGTGACACTCGGGTCTGGAGGGTGAGCACCCTTCATGCTCTGCCCAGGGCCACTCTGGACACATGGAGATCGCCAAGTGCTGTATCATGTGCATGCGGGCAGGTCTACAAGTGCTACGTGGGGCAGGCAAGGCCAAGTCCGTGGCTGGCCTTGGGGGCATGGGTTAGGAAACTTTTGTCAAATGGGTAAGAGCCTTCCCCCATCTTTGCAAGGAGAGCTAAGTTGTTCCCCTCCCCTGCTCTCTGTGAGGGGGCACCCAGAGTATTTCCAGAAGGCATCCTTCTACCATATCCTCTCTTGGGCTCATTCCCATCCATCCCACCCTGTCCTAGATGTCCCCAGTGGAGGACATTGATTGCAACTTATTTTTCCATTTAGAATAATTAGATTTTTAACTTAAAGGTCATACCTGGTAGAAAAGCCCCCTTTCCATTATACAACTGGCACAAATGGCCTGTCAATTGCTTGTTAAAGCATCAAGTAAAAAACTCTCTCCTTTCCTCCCTCCCCACCCTAAAAATCAAACATACTAAGTAATATCAGGGACCCAAGTGACCAACAGTCCAAAGGCCACCGCCCTTGCTCTATAGTTGTGGCAGGCGGGTCCGTCCCTTCCTGCTCTGGTCCCCTCCGTGAAGCTCGCTTTTCTTGCAGCATGAAGGACTGTGGGCAGGGGCAGACCAGCTGGCCTCACTCTAGCAAAGGAGCAGTGTGGCCCTGGGCCTGCCCCTCACTCCCTGCCCGGCTCTCTCACTCGTGTGTGTGTGTGTGTGTGTGTGTGTGTGTGTGTTTCTCTGTCTTTGTGCTTTTATGTGCACTTAGAAGGCGCAATTCAGAGTGGCCGGGCCAGCTGGTGGGGATGGTGACTGTTCACCCCATTCTCTCAAACTGACAGGCATTTGTAGATGAGCTGTCATTTGTCACTACATCCATGTGCTGGTATCTTGGAGCCTGCGGTGTGTGTGGCAGGATGCATGTTACGTGTGCATGTTGCAGTTCATGTCCATCGAGGGTCCTCACTCTGCTATGACCAGTGGTTCTATGTAGTAGAAATTATGTCAGGCCTCCCCTGCCACCATCTCTACAGCCCAACAGGAGGGGTTGCACTCAGCCCCCCACGCACCCCCTGTACCCAAAGGGGTTGAGTAGAGGCCATTGGGGACCATCCTCCATGTCCCTGCTGGCTGTCAGGCACAGCCGCACTCCTCCACAATCATGTTGGGGACGTCCCTCTTCACAATGTTATACTCATCATCGAAGTAGAGCATGGACATGGTGCTGAGCTTGGTTGGGATGCAGCAAGAGTTCACCATGCTGGGGTTCAGGCCCCGCATGCGGTATTGATTCACCACTGCAGTGTGGAAGGAGGAAGCGGAGCCAGGGACTCCTGCCAGGTAAGCCGGGCAGCTGCCCTCACAGTAGTTCCCATAGTAGCCGGTGGGCGCGATGATCCAGTCATTCCACCCAATGACACGGAAGTCAATGTAGAACTGCTGCCTGCAGCAGAGACTCGTGTGGCCATCACACTCCAGGCCCCGCTTCCTGATGCGGTGTCTACTGTCGCCCAGCCGCGCCTGCACCACGACAAAGGGTCGGTGGGACTCCTCAGTGGGGTCCACAAACACTGGCACCACAGCCAGCTCCTGGCAGCCCTCACACTGCACGTCCAGGCTAAGCCTTCGTTCACCGTGCTCAAACAGGGCCTGGATGGCCTCAGTGAGCGGGAAGGTATGCCAGCCCCCGCGCCGCAGCTCCACCTTCTTCTCCACCATGCTCCACCTGTCCCCGTGTCCCTGCTGCTGGAAGGACACCTTCACTCGCACCTTCCGGCGGTTGCCCTTCTCCAGGACGTAAGGCAGCAGTTTCAGGTAGAGCCACAGACTGGCCTGGACCACAAACAGATTCTGGTTGCCCTCATTGGAGATGAAGAAGTAGAGGCGGACTCGGGAGGAGGCGAGGCCATCTGCAGAAAAGGGAGAGCAGTCCAGTTAACTCAAGGGGGGAGGGGGCAGAAAGGATGGGGACACTGACAGTAAAATGCTGGGATGTGAACTCTCCACACACCTGGAAAGCCAAAAGTGCTGTTTGTGGGGCCAAAACTTCTGCCTACAACCTGGGAGGGGCAGAGAAAGCGAGTTTCCACTAAAGAAACTTCACCAGGTTGGAACTAGAAGGTTGTGGCCTATGAACTTCTGCCTCACCTTCCCCAGGCCTGGGCCCCTGCAGGCAGGCCATCAGGCCTCCAAGATCAACAGAAGGATTTGTCTGGAGGCCAAGATCTTAACAAGTTCTTATGGGTATATGGGATCTGAAAAGCCAGGCCAGGGCGGCACCAAAGATTTGGGGGTGGGTGCTTCAGATGTTTTAGTGTGTTGGGGTGTTGTGTGTGGTTTGTTGTGTTTTTTTTAACTTAACTTAGGGCATTGCAAAATCAAGCTGAACTACCTACTGCCTCTTTGCCATGTTTACCTAAGTATGATCTGATTCAACCCCCAGTGAAACCTGCACTGCAAACAAGCCAGCTCTTCTCAGGTTTCCAACACAGGAGCGTGGGCTCTGCAGGCTGAAAGTACAGCCCTCACTCCTGAGTAGTTCTCCAAGGCATAAAACACACAGCCTTGAACCTTGAGATCCAAACTTTCTGCAGACCCTGGCACCCTGTTGTGGCACATGCAGAGCCACCAAGGAAAATTGTCTGCCTGCTCCTGACTGTTCACAGTTCAGGTCACCAGTAGGGCGGCTGTACTAGAGCCAATGTCTCTCTCCCGCGCTACATTCCAATGACCTTCCCTCTGACAATCTCTACTCTTTTTTTCTGTTCTGCAGGAAGAACAAATGTGGTGATTGTGTGGACAGGGCTGGTTTTATCAAACCTCTCATCACTGCCCCCCAGGCCCTTCCTCAGGCCTCCCTGGCGCCCCTAATAATACAGACACCTGACTTTGAAATGGGAAAAACTGCAGCCTTAAAAGCTAGTCCTGGACTAGCCGCCTGTGACCTGAATCTGTTATTTATAAGTCAAAGAGCTACCACCGCAAAAACGGACCAGAAATATAACAGCCCCCGCTGTCATTTTGTGCCACCAGGACCAAAAGGCCCTCCTCGACCTTCTAGAATCACGTATCTCCCCGAGCCCCTGAGCACCTTTTTATGCGAGCCTCTGACTCCGGCTGACAGCTAAGCCCGCAGCAGCAGCACATTTCTTTCTCTGCACAAACCAACCCGATTGTCTGCTTTTCTCCACACTCGGCCATGCAAAACTTTTCATCCCTTTTCATGGCCAGGAGGCTGAGGCGCTATCTGCTGCTGCCTGGGTGGGGGGAATGACGGGGGAGGGGGGGAGGACGGGAGGGTGCGAGGGGTGGTGAAGGATGGGGGGCATTAATAGCTAGGGACACAACAGCCCTCTAGCTCTCAGCCCCCACCCCCTGCTGCACAGCGGCTTCCCAGGAGACAGGCCCTGCAGTCCCCAGCCCAAATGGAGCTGAGCTCTGGGCACAAAAGCCAGCCTGGCTCATTCAAGTCCTGAAAAGGACAGCAGCATTTCCAGTGGGGCACACTTTCCTCCTTCTTTTAAAGTTCCCAAAGATATTTTTTTCCTCCCTGATTTTTATATTTAGACACTGGTAGAGATCTACAGTCTGGAGAAGAGGGGGGTGTCCCGGAAAGGACTGAAACTCTTTGTTAACTAAGAACCCAGAGGCTACCACGGCTGTCAGCGGGTCCGGTCAAGAGGCACTGAGCTGGCCTTGAGTACGTCTTTCTCTGCGTAGAAGATGGAACCTGTTGAAAAGTCGGCCTGCCTTCCGCCCATTCCGGTGCCCACACAATCGGAAGAGAGGTTGCCTAGCTCTTCCCAGCGAGGCTTCAGCAATCCTGGCAAGCCCATGCCACCCGGAGATGCAAGCGGCCCCAGGGGCCTCTCCGAAAGCAGGCGAGCGGGAGCGCGCGCGCACACACACACACACACACAGAGAGAGAACTCTGGCCCACGTATATCAACAAGCACACACATCTCCATCCATACTGCTAGGCACACACTCCGTCCGTGGGAAACAAAAACATTAAGCAATAACCAAGCCAGTGCCTGCGGAGCCAGGGCCAGGGAGACAGGAGCCCAGGCGCTGGGGCAGAGGGCAGGCGTGCGGTGAAGGGGCTGAGAGATGTCTGCACCCTGAAGTGCCGCCGCAGGGACAGGGTCGAGTGGACCGGGCAGAAGTAGCGTCACCCCCAGGGCGCGCTGGCGGAGGTGGCGGAGGCTCCCACAGGCAAACAGAGAAGGGGCTGGGGGCGGGCACACGGACCATCATGGGCACCGAGGCCGAACCCACCTGTCTCAGCAAAGCTGATGATTTCGGACATGCGCTCTTGGCCGTCGGCGGCTGGGCTGGCGTGGCCGTCGAGATGCGGGATCTCCACGCGGCCGTCCTCGCGTACCTTGCCCGCGTGCAGCTTGCGCAGGGCCGTGACCATGGCGGCCTTCGGCACGGCGTGCGTGATGTTGGGCCGGCCCCGCATCTGCAGGCGGCTCAGGATGTGCCGCTTCACCGCCTCCAGGAAGTCGCTGTCCACCCGGCCCGGCTCCTCCGGCCGCCGGAAGCCACCGCACGACGTGCAGGTGTCCTGCGAGCCTCCCCGTGCTCCCGGCGGCGGCGCAGCGGGCGACGGTGGGGGTGTGGGCGAACCCCAGGCTTCGGGTCCCAGCCAGCCGGCCGCCAGCAGCAGAAGGCAGGCGGCCCCCAGCGCCCGGCCGGGCAGCCCGTCCATGGTGCGCCGCTGGAGACTAGGACGCCCGCCGCGAGGCGAGCTGAGCACAGGGCTGGGCTCCGGGCGCGTTGCCCGCCCCGCCTCTGCCCGCCCGCCGGGAGGCCGCCGCTGGCTCGCAAGGGAGGAGGCCGGCCGGGCCGCTGGGCTTTCCGCGCGCGGACGAGGGGCGCCCGGGGCCGCTGGGGCCGGAGAGGCGCACTGGTTGCAACAGCAGCAGCGGACGGATCGCCGAGCTAGCAGGTCACTCTCGCACGGGCGTCTCAGGGCGCGTCGGCGTCTGCAGTCTTCTCCCCATCCTCTGCGTCCGGGCCCCCCGCAGACCCCGCTCTGGTGTGGCGAAAGCAGCGGCAGCCGGCCGCTGGACCCGGAAGGTGGCGAAACGGCCGGCCAAGGCAACTTGATGGAGACGAAAGGCGAGGGCACCGAAGCTCCGGAACGGAGCCCAGGCGCGGCTTGGCGCGGCGCTGCGGCGGGCGCTGCGGCGGGGCCCCGCGCTGGCACCTGAGCCCGGCCTTGGCCGCCTCACGCCAAGAAAGGGCCGGCAGCAGCAAGCAGGTCGTCCTCGGTGAGGCCCGGCGGGGCGAGGAGCGCCCCGCCCCACGAGCCCTCAGAGATGGAGCCGAGCAGGCCCTGCGGTCTTCTGGGCGCGGCACCAGCCAAAGTTCTCTCCAGGCTCCCGGGGCGCCGCATCCGCGGGCGGGCGGGCGGGCTGCGCGCTGCGCTTCGCGGGGGCCTCTACTCCGGCGCCTCCTCTGGCCACACTCGTCCGCTGCCTGTGCCGGGCGACTGGGCACGGGGCGCCGGGCGAGGACGGCGAGGCGGCAGCAGGCCCTTCTCGCGGTCTCCCTCGGTCTCTCGCGGCGGCGGGATGGGCTCGAGCGCTGAAAAGTCTGGCAGAGCCTCCGGTGTGGTGACCTCGCTCGCGCTCGCACCGGCACCAGCCGCAGAGCGGCCGAGAGCGGGCCGGTGGCGCCGCGTCCCCGCGCCCAGCCGCGGCCCCGAGCGCAGTGCCCGCCGACGAGTTCTTCTTTTTGCTCTCTCTTCTTCTATTCTCCCCGATTTTTCTCCCTTGGGGGGAAAAAAAAGCCGCACAATCTCCGTATGTGCGCGCGCGTGGAGGAAGGCGGGGGACGAGGCTGGTCCTGGCCGTGCGGGAGGAGATGGCCCGCGCCTCCCGCTCGCCAGAGGGAGGAGGGGCGGATCTGTTCAGGTCGGTGCGCTCCCCCCGCCCCCCCTCTCTGTGCTTGGGGAAGGAGGGGCGAGCCAGCCCTCCTCCCCACCCCCCCACACCCCCACACCCCACTCTCGGGACACTTTGGCTGCCCAGAAACTTTCCCACCACGTGCGCGCCCGGGACCCTCGCCCAGCCAGGAGGCTGGCGGCACCGACGGACTCCGGGCGAAGGACGCGAGGGTTCGCCTCTGACCGCAGCCGCCCCCTCCTCGCTCGCGCAGGCCTGGTCCCCGTCCCGGCCACCTCCGCCACCGCCTGGAACCGCAACTCTGCGCACCAAGCCCCGGACTCGCGGGGCGCTCCCTCCGCGGACGGGAAGACAAGGGCCCCGGACCCCTGTCTTCTAGGCACTCCCTCCCGGGATCCTCTCCCAGCGAACGCCGCTCCCAGGCTGCAGTGCCCTCTCCCAGCGCCCAGAGCCTCCCGGTGGCTGGCGCGTTGGGCAAAGCGTGGGGCCCGCAGGCTGAGGGCAGGAGGGGCGGCCGCTGGAGGCCTGCTTGCTCCTGCCTCCGCAGCGCCCGGGGCTCCAGGGGACTTCCAGGTTGAGCTGCAGTGGAAAACTCTCTGGCCTGGGGCTGTAAACCCCAGAACTGTCTGGGTTCTCCAGCACACACAAACCTCAAGTAACTAACTTTGATCTCTCTCAGCAAAACCTCGTTACAGGCTCCATTTGTTACACTGTCGATTTGTAGAGGTGTGCCCTTGAGCTGAGTCCTCACCCCTCATCTTTCTTATAGGAAGTGGTACTCATGCAGGTGGAGTCTCAAATGAGGCATCTGGGTCACTTACCGATCAGAACCCAGTAAGGGGGATCACCACCAGCCTGCCGCACTGATCGCTGTCAATGCAGACACAATTCCTAGCCCTTACACAACCCCAATACATAATACTTCTGTCTTCCTGTCCCCATCTGGGTCCAGTGTTTGGAGGGACCTGTGGTTGGAGTCGCAGGACCTGGTTCATGGCTAAGAACATGCCCCCATCCCCTCTCTTGCTGTGGACCTCCACCCACGACGGCACCCACGACCGCCAGCCCTGAAACTGCAGGCACGGGCTAAGTGGAAGTCATTCCAAAATTCCTATTACGTCAGTGGACCTAGGAGTGCCTAGGCCTGGAGAGGGACCTCCAGCTCGTGACCTTCCTCCCGCATTGAGTGTCCACCAAACTCACCGAGACCAGAACCTACCTCGGCCTCAGCCTCAGCCTCAGCCTCAGCCTACATGGAGCAGCCAAGTCTGGAGGCGGAGCGCCCCCTCCCTCCCAGTCGGAGGAAGCGATCCGAAGGTGCTCTAGCAAAATCTTGCACGCGGGAAGTCAGAATCAGAGGTCCTGCTGGGTCTTTGAGATGCAAGCCCTCTACCTCCCAAGCGAGCGCCATCCCAAGGTACTACACTGCCCACTTAGGTTTCCAAACTCGGCTTGATCCTGGGTCTGCAAACTGGGAAAAGTGCTTCTGCCTGCTGCACGCTGGGGCCTGGGTGCAATGGGGCCCACCACAAAGCTTTTTCTAGAATCTTCCCACCAACCTCTTGAGCAGTAGTTCTCCCTTTCTGTCCACAGCCACTTGGCAAAGTCATTTTTCAATTCTCACCCCCTGTCTCCCCTCCTTAGTGAAGCTCCTAGCCCACACCCTTTTGTACCCCAATTGTTACCTGCCTTATGAGACCCTGCTCTCTGTCACTTGGGTTCCTGGAGAAACCCAGGCCTCATGTGTCTCCCTAGCCAGGGGAAGCTTAGTGAACGCTTGAATGAGAGAGGGATTTAACAGCCCCACTTGCCAGCAGCACCCTAACAGTAGTGTTTCTGGCCTGTGGCTCCAGCCCTGCTTGCTGCAGTCCTACGTGGGCTCAGAAGGGACTGAGTTGGGGAAGACCCTCCCCAGCCAAGTGTAGCACCCTGCTGGTTGACTCTGACTAGGGTCAGGCAAGAACTACCTTCACTGGTGGGGGATGGGACAGGGAGATTGAACGAATGGTCAACACTTTGCTCCTCTGGTGAAGGGGCTGCCAGCCCGCTGCTGGTCATCTGCTGGGAGGGAACTGGGTCAAGCGGTAGTCAGAAACCATCTGCTCGAGAAGCTGGGATTATCCCGCCCTCTGCTGATCCCCCTGCCCGCAGGAGCCAAGGGTGTAAATTGAGTTCTTCCACATCACCTTGTGCTTTCTGAGGGAGGGCATCTCCCCTACCCTAGGAGCCAGAACCTGCTCCTGGGGCTTCACAGCCTTATTTATCTCTGGGCACAGCTCTCTGTCCATTAGTGACCTCAGCCTCCAGAATCTGCCAGGAGTGTAATGGCACCTGTCACTTCTGAATACAATAATGCACATCAGTGTTGTTACCAAAGCCTTCAGGCAGGGCTGCAAGACCAACAGCCCCCACTTAGGATGCTGGATTCCTGCCACCATCCAGGGGTTGGTCCAACCGGGAGGGAGAGACCAACACATGGTGAGGTTATGGATTCAGGCGCCAGAGGGGAGTTCTCTCTGGAAACATACATTCACAACAGTTTTATGCAGAGTTTATCATTGGCAACTTGGAGTGGATTAAAACATCAGAAAATGATTCATCAAACCATGAAGACTGGTGCTTTCAAAGCTTGCTTGCAAAAAAGAACTAAGAACCTGCGTGCACTTGCTGGCTGGTTGGCCCCTGCAGGATTTAGGTGTGAAGAGAAGATCTTCCTTCTTTGAGTGGTGGAAACTGTTCGCCCAAACACCCACAAAGATCTAGAGTTCTGCTCCAAAATCAGCCACTGGGTGTTCTATGCAGCACGTTTCTGCTCTGGCACATGAGCTTACCATGAATTGGAGCCAATTGAAAGGCAACTGATCTGGTTTTTATTTACATCAGTGGGCTAAAAAAAAAATAAAAATAAAAGGAGCTCAATTAGGCCAGACTCAGTGTCCCTCCTAGCCAGAGACCCAGGGGCAGAATATGGGCAGCCCAGGCCTGGGTGCACAGGAAGCAAGGGTACCATTCTAAAAGCTAAGTTACCTACGTGGAGTCCCTGGAATGCTTCAAAATCTCTTCAGAGCTTGGAGGTCTTGAGTCAAGTCCTAGCAGGGCATGGAGAGGAGATGATGCTATTTTCATCAGAGAGCCCATATTTCTCACGAGGACAGTAGAGATGCCCTTGGTCACTGAGGCCCTCAACAGGTAGGAGCTGGCGGTACTCTTACATCCCTTCATGGCCTCAGCAAGTAGTGTGGGTGGTGGCCATCTCTGGCAACTTTTACACTCCCCTTCTGTAGTTCACCAACACCGAGCACAATGCATGACTCAATGAAGGCTTATTAGCAGATTCACCAGCAGTGGCACAATCAAGCACTTCACTCCTGGCCAAACTGTTTATGCTCAAACCTACCAACAGACACCCTAACAAAGTGCTGATTTACCTTGAAAACTCACCACATTGACAACCCTGTGGAGTTTTGCACGAACAGAACTATTTTGAATCAGAATAGACTTGACGTGGGTAAAGAAGATGAGGAATGAGCCAGGACTTGACCAAAATCCAATGGCTCAGCAGTGGGCCTGGGACTCAAGAACAGAGGCCACCCTTTGTGTGCCCCCTGCAGGCTGATCCCCTCCTTGTCTGTCCCACTCCATAGGCTAACCCAGGCTCTAACACAAAGCCATTTTGTGGGGCTTCTCTTTAGGAGAATCATTCTTGAACTGACTCACTCAATCCTCCTCCCACCCCAAATGCTATAGTTTGTTAACAGGAGTCATGCAAATAACTGTGTACTGGATCTATAAGACTATA